ATTCAAAATTTATTCAAAAATTTATTCAAAATTTATTCAAAAATTTATTCAAAATTTATTCAAAAATTTATTCAAAATTTATTCAAAAATTTATTCAAAAATTATTCAAAATTTATTCAAAAATTTATTCAAAAATTTATTCAAAATTTATTCAAAATTTATTCAAAAATTTATTCAAATTAGTTTGCCAATACTACAGAGCATGATGATGATGATGGCATTCCGCCAGGATTTGATACTGGTGATTCATCGAAGGTTAGTATTAAAGAAGAAAACAATAATTATATCATAATCATATCTTTCTTTTTTTGATTAATTACTTTTTTTAATCTAAATATCTAAATATCTAAATAGCGATATGGTGGAATGCTTTCTTTACAACCAACATATCCACCGTCAGCATCAGTTGGTGGTGGTAATTATCCAATGAATAATTTTTCAATGTATGCTCAATCACCTCAACAATATATGGTTCAGCAGGTAGGATTATTTATTATTATTTATTATATTATTAATTATTATTATTTGTTTATTATTATTATTTGTTATTATTTTTATTATTATTTTCTTCTAACTAATAACTTATTTTTTATGTTTATAGACTCAACAATTTTATCCACAAGTCACCCAAGTAACTCAAACAATGCAATCAATAGCTGCTAATATGACAAATAACATGTCAAATGCTATGACACTTCCAATGAACTCTGTACCAATTCAAGTATCCACTAATACTGTTGCTCCCACCAATAACAATAATAATAATAATAATAATAATGTTCCAATTAATGTTACATCATCAATGACGAATACTTCCAATTCTTCTAATAATACTTCTGTTGTTGCTGCTGCTGCTGTTGCTGCTGCTATTACTGCTCAACAAATATCAAATAATAATAATAATAGTAATAATAATAATAATAATAATAATAATAATAATAATAATAATAATAATTCCAATAATAATTCTAATTCTAATAATAATAATAATAATAATAATAATAATAATAATAATAATAATAATAATAATTCAACTACTACAACCACCACGAGTATAACTTTATCACAACAATCATCCCCTAATCTGGAATCATCTATTAATTGTAATGATATGGTATCGCCTTCACTTATATCACCTTCTCTAAAAAAACCAAAACTTCGGGTCCAAATTCCCGATACAAAAGATAAACAAACTACTTCAGCTGGTCAACAACAGCAACAATCATCACAGGATCAATCACCTGTAGATGATACTCCTTCCGACACACCAATGTCATCATCACAACCTGTACGTAATTTATTATTATTATATAATATATATTATATATATATATATATGTAGTTATGCTTACAATATAATTTAATATAATTATACTTACAATCATATTTATTATTTTTTAAAGATGCAATCATCTCGTCCTACACCAGCGACCGCTGAGGCAGGTCCCACTTCTGCTTTACCATCACAATTCGCTCAAAATTTACCATCCCCATCAACATTTTTCTCGGAATTTTATAAAACCACCGAATTACCTAGTCCTCTTACCTTCGGAAATACTCCCACCAGCGCTAACCCTGGACCTTTTCATTGGCCGGCACCACGTAATAATTATCAGCATCAACCTTCACCATTAGCAAAACATGAGAATAATAATTCTTCTACTTCCGCTACTTCCGTTCTTAATAATGCTACTAATAATAACAATAACAATGATAACAATACTACTACTACTAATAATAATAATGGGAGTAATGCTACTAATAATGGAACCAATAATATTAGCAATAACAATAATAATAACAATAATAATAATAATAATAATAATAATCTTGTTACTAAATCACGACCTGCACCTAATGAGGAAGAAGAAAGTATCGATGAACCGGATAAGAAAAAGTCGAAACATTAATATATTATATATTATATATTAGATAATAATTCTGGATGTGATGGATGATTATAATACAAGGATGGATTTAATGTATGATGGGAATAATGTTGTATTTAAAATGGAATAATGTGTAAAATGGGATGTAAAAAAAAAAATAGATATGCAAAATGGAATGGATGGAATGTGTAATAAAAATTGAAGGATAAATATTATTATTATTATTTTGGAGCTTTTAAAAAAGAAAGATCATGAAAAAAAATTTTATGGAAAAAAATATTAAAAAAAAAATATTAAAAAACATGAACATATGTGATATATATAATATATAATTTTTTTTTGTAATATCATCATAAATTTTTTGACTCTAATTTCACTTTCTCTCTTTCTCTTTTTTTTTGTTGTTATCCGCTTGTTATTATAGTATTTCTTTCCCCCTTTTTTCTTTTCTTGCATGAACTTTTATTTTATAAAAAAAAATTCATATCATATTATCAATTATCACTTTCTCTCTCTCTCTTATTCAAACATTTATTTGATTACGATTAAAAAAAAAAAAAACTTGGGTCTTCATATGGAAAGGTCCTCCATTTATTACATCACATATATATATACATATATCTATATTGGTATTTTGTTTTTTATTATTATTATTGTTAATTATTAAGTTTATTATTGTTGTTGTTATTATTGTTATTATTATAATCCAAAATCAAAAAAAAAATGTTCACAGTTGATAAAAAGGATAAAAGTTGGTGAATTTTGTATGTATGTATACCTTTTTAAGAGACAGTATATATATACATATAATGACATATAATAGTAAATTTATTTTGATAAAAAAAAAAAGAATAAAGAGGAGAAAGTGGAGGAGGAAGAAGAGGAGAGAAGGATAAGAACAACAGGTGGAACAGCAAAGTGGAAGATTTAATATGTTTACATTTTGAATGTATTATTGATTAAAATAATAAAATGTGATGTATAATAATAATAATAAAATGGGATGTATAATAATAAAATGTGGTGTATAATAATAAAATGTGGTGTATAATAATAAAATGTGATGTATGATAATAAAATGTAATGTATGTTTAATAATAATAGTAATAAATATTTTTGTTAAGGAAAAGAATAATTATATTTTTTTTGGATAGAGGACTTTTTTTTCAAGTATTGGACCTTTTTTTTTTAAAAAAAAAATTTTATTTTTGCAATTATTCTCAGTTAGTATTTAGTATCGGTTATTTTAGTTATTACATGGTAAAGAAGAAATATTATTACATAAGTTTACAGTTCTCTCAATACATAATAACATACTGCGCATAATCTGTAATAATAAATTTAATATACATAAAATATACTTTTTGTATCGCCAGAACATTTAGAACTTTCATCACTTACAACTTGAATAAACTAAAGAAAGATATTGACATAAAATACTAAAATACTTTAATTCTTTTACGATTTCATAATATATTTGTATAATATTTAAATAAAATATAATGTTTAACCAATATATACATACATGTCATTACTACATTACAATAATTATATAATATAAAAATTTTACATAATACCAAATTATAAAATTATATCAATTTTGAAATAGTAACAAAACTATTCATTTATTTCTTCTTTTCGCTCGTCATTTGTAAACAATTTCGCACCAATCATAACCTTTTCACCGTTAGCGCGGAAATAACCAGAAGTTGCGTAACTCTTTTGACACTGGTAAAATGCAATCATGAGTGGTTATTCATCGTAAGGCACAGCACACTAAGGGAGAACCACACACGGATAATTTTAAAAAATGTTATGATAATCTCCAGTCTCATCCGTTACAACGGAAATAGAAAATATTTTGGCACTCGCAAAAGAAATAGTAACAAGGGGCACCTTAATGTTATACTACAAGGAACCCTTGTCACTATTCACCTCGTATCTCGTTGTACTGGGCCCACTTATGTTACGCGGTAAGGGGGGTACGGGAAAGGTTAGAAAACGGTTTCGAAAAAAAGAATCTTACCAATAAAGGAAGACATGCTAAAAGAAGAAATGAAAAAAAAAAAGCAAAAAGGTGATTTACGTCATTGTATATCTTTAATAAAATGTTTAATCTGCGCCATACTTTTTTTTTAAAAAAAAACTTTTGGAAGGAAAACAGTTTAATCCGAAGTTTTTAAAATCTCAATTTTACTATAATATCATTATATTTAACAATAATGATTATTTATTTTTTATTATTATTATTATACAAAATCAAAATTAAAAACAAATAAAAAATGCAAATCAAAACTTATTTTATCTGTATCAAAAAATGTTTATTTTATTTACTCTTTTTTTTTTATTATGATTTTTTTTAAAATTTTTTTTTTAATAATATGATATGATATAAGAAAGAAGAATGGTCCAATTAATTTATTGGCCTTTTATTATTGTTTTCCAAGACCTCGGCTTTTTTCTGTAATTCATCCATCGCTCGAAAGATTGTCTCAGTAATTATTATTCTTGTTTCAACTTCTTCTGTTTTTTTCTCATGGTAATCGATTAAAATATCTTTAAAGTCAATAGGACTTCCATAAATAATTACAACATTTTCTCCGAGAATAGGTATCCACCGTTTTTTCTTAATTTCAGTTGTTTCTGGCATTATTTTATCAAGACCTAGGAAAAATAAAATCAGATAAAAATATTATGTAATCACCGACGCAAAATGAGTAATACTATATAGATATTTTAAATATATTAAATGAAAAAAACCTTTATGCCATAATGGAATAACTATAGGTAGATTAGTAGATTCCATCATTAAACGCCCAACTCCCCATTTGAATCTAAGTAAATCCATTGTTTGATTGACTTTTCCTTCTGGGAAAACATGAACCTGAGATAAAAGAAGAATTAAAAAAAAAAAAAAAATAGATCTAGATATTTTTAGAATACCAATTAAAAGTGGATACAAAATAACAATTTTTTTTTTTTAATGTGTACCCATTTTCCTTCATTTAATCTGTCTATCGCGAAATTCATTGCTGGTTGATAAATTCCAGCCCCTCGAACTGTTGGTATCACTTGACCGAGAGTAAAGAATAAAGCAAGAAGTCTATAGAATTGAAAGATTTTAGCTTTTTTTGATCATAAAGATTTATTTACAAATAAAATTTTTACTCACGGTGAGGTGAAACATATTTCTTGTGCACCAAGTGTCCAACGCATTCTATCAAGGTCAAGTTTTAATAGATTTCTTAAAGGAATACTTCCCCAAATTAATGGATCATCAAGTCTAATATTTTTAAGGATATAAATGATAATAATAATAATGTTACATTTTTATTGTAAATAATTGGTCATGGGTTTTTTCGTTTAAAGTACTTACGTGGACAAGTGATTAGATACTAATAAGGAAAAATGAAATGAATGAAATAAATAATAAAATAAATTAATAATTTAATGTGATCATCTTTTAATAATAAAAAAAATGCTTACCAGTTAAAATGGGTCTTATTCTTTTTGGATCCATTAAAACCTCTAAGAATGGTTCTTTACTATATATAATGGTTGAACTGCAAAACTTTAAGAATAATTTAGATAATATAGCTGAAAATGTTAAGCAACACCAACTAACGATTCGCCATAATCGATTATTCGTTGGCCTTAATATCATTTTACCATGTTCAACATAATAAGGTGCAGGAATTTCAATTTGTTTTAACGTTATTTTGTAAATTTTATCATTTTCAAGTACTTTTATTGAAGGGATATCTTTATTTATTTCATTTATTCTCGTATGATTTCGCTATGAAAGAATTAAGGACAATTTATTGAAAGAATTTCAAAAAAAAAAAAAAAAGGAATTTTTAATTTTTTCACACTTACTGTTTCTAAATTTTTTACATATTTTAAATTTTTAATTTGAGGTGCAGAAGATATATGATTCAAATTATTAATGAATATATGAAATGAACATAAATTTTTAATTCCAATTGATTTAAGTTTAAAAGGTTGTCGTAATGTCCACGGCGAGAAATTTTTAGAATTTTTGGAATTTTTATAAAATATTGAGGAAAGGATGCAACGATTCATTATTCATTACCTAAATCAAATTCTGCATCATGAAAATCTCATAACAAATTTGTTTTTTTTTTTTTTTTGCTAATAAATACATAATGCAACTTGAAGTCACATGTAACTTAATCCGTTTTTGATTACTAAATGATCACCTTTTAGAGAAAAAATAAAAATAAAATCCAATTACTGGTTTATTGAAAAAGTTACACTTTTTAAATAAATATCCATAGATATATTGTAGTTTGAGATTATTAATGGAAGTGACAATTATGTTTTAATATATTTAATATGTTGAACGACTTTTTAGGAAATCCGTGTACCAATCTCATCACTTATGTATTATTAGTATTATTTGTCTTATTCGACAAATGTTATACAATAGTAAATTTTCCTTAATTTACTAATTTACTAGGTGGGTTTTGAGTACAAAAATCAATTTATTTTATTGTACATGAAGTTAAATTTCGACCACGAAAAAAACTTACCGTGGCAATTCCATGCTCTAATTCTTTCTTTAACGGTGAATACACCATACTTTCCTTCCCGCAATGTTCAGCGCGCATTACAACAGCAAACCGGAATCTGCCGCTGACCATGCTTTCATTCATTTCCCTCGTGCGGAAGGAAGGTTGGGGAACTCTAACTACATCCATTTCCTATCCCAACCTTCCCGGTCAACGAAAAATAAGTTCAAGAGAGCCATAATAAATAGTTGTGGAAAAGTTCGTTTCCACCACACTTCCACCATTATGAAGTCCAATATATTTATGATAGGTGGACAATGTTCCTTAGATAAGTCTAATACTTCTTTGGCAAAATCTTTACTTAAAATGGACTTTTCAACGTTGGTCGTTAACGAAAATAATTCGACAATTGTGCCCGTGACTGGTCACGGAGCTGTTCCAATAAATGACTCCAAAATTTTGATATTGTTCGGAAAGGAATCAATAGCGCCTCCCAAGTTAACGAATATTGTACAACAAATGGACGTTCAAACGGGTGTAGTGAATACCTTAGATATCAAAGGAACGGCTCCTTCGGCTCGGTATGCACACACAGTTACTTTAATTGATGATAAAGTCTATATAATAGGTGGTATAAATAAAGATAATGATGTCTTGGGAGAAATTAATTTTATAGACCTAATATCCAAGAATTGGAATATTCTTACTTTAAAAAATTCATTAATTCCAATTGCTGGTCACTCGACAGTAGTTGTTGATAAAAAATATCTTATATCATGTTTTGGGTTTAATAACAAACATGAACTTCGAAATGATTGTAATGTTTTTGATACCATCAACAAAGTTTATATTCAACCAAATATTTCTGGTATTCCTCCTTCACCACGTTCTTATTCATCCATGATTACTAAAGAAGATGATGATAAAATAATTTATATATTTGGTGGATTTGATAAAGATTATAAGGGGAATAATGAACTTTATATTTTAAATGTAACGAATATACGAAAATTCACTTGGTCAAATATATTATTTACTGAGGAACATTCAAATTTGATTCCATCACCACGAGGTGCTCATACGGCGATTATAAATTCCGAAATGATGTATATTTGGGGTGGATATTCGGATACAGATTTGTCTGATAGTGAACCACATATTTTTGATATTAAATCTAATTCTTGGATTGATAAGAACAAAATAACTTCCTCATTCTCCAATAATAATATGAATAATAATGTTAATAATTCTTCTTCTAATACTTCTTCTGATAATAATACTCCAAATTCATTTCCAATATGGCAAATTATTGTTGGAATTGTTGGTATTATTTTAATGACATTAATGGCTATATTTTGCTTTCTAATTATTCGTCGACGTCGTTTAAAGGTAACTTCTATTGAAGATGATAAAGAAATTCAGAGTGATCCTTATAATCATTCTGGAAGTAAATTTAATGGTAATCTTGAAATTACTTCAAATGATGAAAGTAAAGTTATGAAATCAATAGATTTATCAATACTTGAACAAATAACCGTGGAATCAATATCGCCTTCACAATTACCACTTGATGAGAAAGTTAATTATAATGAGAAAGAATCACCTAAATCGTCAGAAGTTCATCCTAATTATCCCAAAGATTTAAATAGTTTTAGATTTTCTTCAGATAAAAACAAATTAAATAATAATTCATCTAAACGTACATCAACCGATTCACAACGAATTAAACGATCTCATAGACGTACATCATCAGTTTCATTAACTCCTGCCGATGTGGTGGATCTTACTAGACCTCGTTCATTTGTACATCACAAGTCGTCCTTATCTACCAGTGTTATTAATAATAGTACTTTTAATCATTCGTATTTAAATAATTCAATATCCCGAAAGTCTTCACCTATTGAATTTGATCCGACACCTGAATCCAACAATAACAACAACAACAACAACAACTATAATGATATAAGTAAACCATTAGATACACTTTCAGCATTACGATTTGAAAAAAATAATCTTCGTGATTCAAAAGCTACATCACGATCTGCTCGATCTGTAAATTCATTACAATGGGTTGGATTTAATACCACTATGATGGCTGAACAAGAAGAAAAAAGACTTTCGTTACATGTACGAAATGCTTTCAGTACTATTCATTCTTCAAGTGTATCAAGTGTATCGGAAGACTCTCGAACATCATCAGAGTCAGAAGGTGATGAATTTGTTATTTGTGGTGATTATATTAATACTACACCTAAATTTCAAAATAATAATAATATTGGTCAAGGTAATTCTATAGATAATGGTCTACAAAAAAGAAGTATCTCACAAAATCAATCTAAAATAAAAAATAATAGAAATATAATTTCTAACATTGTCGAAGAAGAAAATAATTCTGAAGAATGTAATACGAGAGAAAGTGGAATTATTGATAATTATATGCATAATTCACGAAATTCCTCTGATTATAATAATAATAATAATAATAATGATGATGATGATAAAAGAAGTTCCCAAAAATCGAAAAGATCATCAAATAAAAGAACCAGTAGAGTATCATTTGCACTCACTGATGAAAAAATTGAATATTATGAAACCGAATCATCAGAAAGTGTATCTCTTGCTCGTATTTCGGGAAGAACATCAAGTAGTTCAACCAGTAATTCAATACCATCTATAATAGAAGAAGAAGAGGAAGAGGAAATAGATTTTAAATATAATAAAAAAGATGGTAATGAAGAGGTATTAAAAATTGACATACCAGAAACTGTTTCACCGAACAAAAATAGTCCGATTCGTAATAGTATCAAAGACTTTATGATGGAACAGGGAATTCATGAGTTTTACAATATATAAAATTTTATCATCAATCAATCAATCAATCAATCAATCAATAATTTATCATACTTCTTTATAAGGTTTTTTTATAGGCGTCATTATAATTGTTTTTTTGCACTTTTCTATTTATTTCTATTTATATATATATACACATTTTCATCCACAATTGTCGTCAATTCTCTTGGATTATTCCGCCAGAAAAAAAAAAAAATTTGTCACGCTAAAAAAAAAAAAGAAAGCATTGTAATATGCTGAACTCATTTTTTTACTTTGTATTCACCAGTATTCTTCTGCTTATTTATTGCTACACTCTTTTTTCTTTCTTTCTTACTAACAAAATTAAAATATTTTGGTTGGAGCTTGTAGATAATAATGTTATAATTTCAAACAAAAAAATCTACTCATCACATTTTTTCATTTTTTTTTTTTTACCATAATTTTCGAACTCCTATAATCCTCTATTTTCCCGATTAAAAAAATACAAAAAAAAAAAATCAATACTTATTTCATCTTAATAACAAATTTTATCCTTTTATCATAATAATTTCTTTATTGCCCATTATAGTTTAGACTCGTTTAGACTCGTTTAGAATATATAACATTTGTTGCTCTTCGGATGTTTTGAACTATCAATATTACTTTGACTAGATTTTTAATTCACGAGAAAAAGAAGAATTCTTCCAATAATATTTTCTAGTTTATTGAGTTCTATATTTTCTATATACATAATAATAAAAAAAAAATATCGTGACCTTTAAACTTGTTATATATATATAAACCTTTCTTTTTTTTTTTTATTAAAAAAAATGTATTTTATATCAAAGATAATAAATAAAAATAAAAAAATTTTAAGGAAATATTTATCCTTATATATAGTATAAGATTTATTTAGTCAAAGTACATAATAATAATAATAATAATAATAATAATAATAATAATAATAATAATAATAATAATAATAATAATAATAATAATAATAGTACAACACTTTTGATACTAATACATATTATATATTTCAATTCTCAAACTTCCGCTACCATATTAAGAGATTTCAAATATTCTAAACGATGTGGATTATCATCAGCGGGACGATTAATTGGAATCCATTTTGGCTCATCTTTAAACAATCCTAAAATAATAATAAATAATAATTATTATTATATATTATTATTATATATTTATATTATTTATATAAAGAAGAGGATTTTTTACTCACTTTTAACTTTAATATAATCATTAACGTCAAGAGTAAAACGGTGGTAAATACCAGCCGGCTTTAAATGAAATTTAATGTAATTTTGTTTTGATAAAAAAAAAAAAATAAATAATAATTGGAAACTTAAATAAATAAAAAAAGGTTATTAAAAATTCTCTTACCAAGATCAGGAGATCCCCTTTTTCAACAAAAATACGAATCCAACGGTCGTAAATATCTGTTCACATATATTTTTAGATGTATATTTAGAGATTATATATATTTATTAATATAATAATAAAATATTTAAACAAACACGCGTTAAAAAATAATTTTCATATAATAAACTTTAATTTACCACGAACATCAAAGTAACCGGAACCCGCTATGACATAACGAATTTCTTCGTCTTCGTGAAGATGTCTAATAAATAAATTATTTAATAAATTTTTACTTATATTTTTTGAATACAATAGAAAAAAAAAATAAACTTTCAATAAATACTCTTCAAAGAAAGTTTTCAATTTGCTTTCATATAGGTCACCGAGACCTTCCCTAGAACAAATAAGCTTTAATTAATAGGATAATGATTGGTTCAACAATAATTTCAACATTAAAAATATTAAAATTGATTTTATGAAATAAATACTTCGTCACTATTTTTATATTGTCGTTCTCTGGCAACTTTGTCTATATCTGAAACATGATCATAATGCCCATAAATGACACCTAATTTTGCCAGTTCCTCAGGACTAACTGCCGAGAAAGGGATTAACTCGTGCCTTTCGCGGGGATCATAATTTTCATTGTCATAATAATACGCTCTCATTTTTTTTAAAAATTTTTACAAAATAATGGTTACAGAAAAATTTGGATCCGAGTACAAACAATTTTAATTAACCGAAAGGGTAGTTTTTTCCGGAAAAAAAAGTATAAAAAAATGATAACCATTTACTTTTATTATTTTATTTTATAACTATCAAATTATGACATGCGTAGGCGAAGAAGAAGAGGAACATGTACTTTTTACTTTAAAATGATTTTGATATAATATTAATTCTATACAGTAATTAATTTCATTTTTATATTATTATTATTATTATTATTATTATTATTATTATTATTAGGTGATGTTAAGGCATGCCATAGAACTTTCATTGAAAAAGAATGACGATATATGGAATCTGGATAATAATAATTTTATTAACAATGATATTGATAACAATATTGAATCGAAATCATTTCGTATGTCTCAATCTACTGAGATTCCACCACGAGCAACGACAACAACATCATCCTCCTTTTCAGATTCGAACATGCCAGAATTTGATCCAGATATAGGTTTGAATAAACAATTTAAGGAAAGTAAATTTAAAGAATGGATAAGGCAAGAAATAAATAATGAAAGACGACATAGGAATTTTGGTACATCCAATGAGATTCTTGAAGATTTGAGCAGGTTATTATTTCCTTTTACTATTTCTTTTTTTTTTTTTTTTTTACATTTCCTTTTACACTTTAATTTTTTAATAATCAAATATTTATAATATTTTTATATAATACCATATATAATATAATCCGTATAATACCGTATAATATCGTATAATACCATATATAGCTATTTATATTTTCTTATAAAAGCAGCTTGTTTTTCTATAGTCTTGATGATTCTTGGGTTCTTTATAATAAGTTTTATTCAGTTAATCTTTGCTTTCCGATCAGATATTAATAAAGAAATTGAAATAATATCCTCAGGTATAATTTGGTATAATTAAGTGTTCCCAAATAATTTATTATTATAGAATTCAAGAATATAACTGATAATTTGATAATTGTTGATAATAAATATTATAGATATAAATAAACTAATACAATCATGTACAAAGAACTATGTGATAAATGAATGTGGATCAGATAACAGAATACCACTCTTGGAAGAAAATTGTACGGAATGGGAAACTTGTATGAATTTAGATCCAAATAATTCAATATCAACGATTGAAGTGATAGTGAAATTTTTAGGTCGTCTAATTTCATCATTTGTTAGTCAACTCTCATATAAAACAATGTTATTTTTATTTATAACGAGTTTGATTGTTTTTGGTACAACATTACGTAGATTCACATAATAAATTCATATTTAGATATGAATTAAATAATTATTGATTGTGAAGATGATTTTCAATTTTTCAAAAAAAAAAAAATTTGAAAAGAAAATAATTACATTTGAATAACATTTAATAATAATAAGAATTCTTTGATTATTATATAATTAATTAATCTATAATTCAACAACAACAACAACAAAATTATAAATATTATAAATATTATAATTTAGGTTTAGTTGATTCCACCCAAGCAAATCCCTGTTAGAATTTAAAAGAATGATTAATTAATGATTAGATAATTATAATAACATAAATTAATAATGATAATAATTATTATATTATTATATTCAAAATACTAATAATAATAATAATCATGAACTTTACCGTTTTTTCACTTTGTGGTTGTACCATGACATTAATTACCACACATTTATATTCTAATAATTTTAATAAAGCATCATCCAAAGCATCACCTAATTCTTTGGGTGTCCTCACAAAATATCCTTTACCTCCTGCGGCATCAGCAATTAAATCATATCTCACATTTGGTAATAAAGCGGTGGATGGTAAATTATTGATAGGTATAGAATTATAAGTTTTGAGATCAAAACCTTGATAAATTCCATTATTATTAATTATTATTATAATCATAGGTAAATTTGCTCGTACAACTGTTTCAGCTTCCATTGCACTTTATATATATATAAACAAATACAATTATTAATTTTAAATTGATATATAGACGAGAAATATATATATTGATGTATATTTTTACCTAAATCCAAATGCGGAATCTCCTACAACTGATACGACAAGTTTTTGGGGATAACAACATTTGGCTAGTTTGGTGTCATTAATGTTAATAAATGTCCAATATTATATTTATAAATGTGTAAAAATGTGTAAATGTGTAATAAAATGTATTTACCAGCAATCGCACTTCCTATTCCTATTCCCATAGTTCCAAAAGTACCAGCATCTAATCGACAACGTGGTTCGTGCATATCAAAAATTGTTCTTGCTAAATCCATGGTTTTTGCTCCTTCACTAACAAATACTAAATCTTTTTGTGGTAACCTTTTTTTTATTTCCCAATATGCTCGATGATATGTCATGGGAATTGAATCCTCTTGAAATTTTTTATTACTCAGATCAAGATTTTGAGATACTTTTCGTTTCAAGGATTGAAGATATTCTGAATTTGCTGGATATTTAAATGAATTTGGAAGATTTTCAATTAATTGTGTCATTACTAATGATAAATGACCAAATAATGATACTTGTATTTGAGAATTATTAAAATGTTCTTCAGGATATATATCAACTTGAATAAATTTAACATTTTTATCAAATTTAGGTGGTAAACCAAAATGTAAAATCCAATTAAGTCTAGCTCCTAAAAGTAATATCACATCGGCTTCAACTAAAGCTTTAGATCTAGCGGCCGCCATACATAATGGATGTGTATCCGACATTACTCCTTTACCCATAGGTGTAGGAATGAAAGGAATTCCCGTTTTTTCAATAAATTCTTTAATTCCTTGTTCCGCTCTAGCAAAAGCAGCTCCTTTACCCACAATAATTAATGGTCTTTTGGCATTTGATAATAATTCAATAGCTAATTTGATACTAGTTAAATCTGCTAAAGATTTAGGTGGATCAAATGCTTTACGTTCAGGAAAATTTAATAAATTAAAAGAAATTGATCCTTGAATAAAATCTGCTGGAAGATCAAAATAAACTGGTCCAGGTCTACCATACATAGAAATTTTAATTGCTCTATCAATAAATTGAGGAATTTGTGAAATTGATGGTGGTCTAATTGAATATTTGGTGTTTGATTGACAAAATTTTACTTGATCAAATTCTTGAAATGATCCTAATCCTTCTTGATATGTATGAGATGATCCACCAATTAATAACATTGGCCAACAATTAATTTGTGAATTTACTATTCCTGACATGGCATGTACTACTCCCGGACCTGATACAACTAAGCAAACCTTAAAATATTAATATAAATAAAAAATAAATAAATAAGTAAATAATTGAAAATAATTTAAAATAAATAAATAAAGGATTTTCTTTTTAAATTATTTACGCCAGGGCGACCAGTGAGATATCCTTATGTTTAAATTATATATATATATAATATATATATATATTAATAAATAAACAAATAAATAAATAAATAAATAACCAATGAATTGGTCGAGAAAAATAAATAATACCATATGCTCCTGCAGCATAACTCAACGATTGTTCATTTCTAAATCCAATAAATTTTATTCCTTCAGCAATTATCGCCTCCGCGACCTATATATATTTTTGTTTTTTTTTTTTTTTTAAAAATTAATTTGTGTCACATGAAATTCATTAATTTCATTAATTTCATTATATATTTATTTATGAATTATCCCCCATCACCTCAACTACAGGGATTCCAACGATCCCAAAGACTACATCAACCCCTTGCCCTTTAAGAGTCTTTGCCACGACTTCTGCACCTGTACGTGATGATGATGTAGAAGACATTTATTCTTAAAATATTTTTTAAAGATCGTAAAATAAAAAATCGTAGATCAAGTAGATCTGGAGATCAATTTTTTTTTTTTAAAAAAAAAAAAAAAAATAATCTAATTTTAAGGGTAGAAAAATAGTTTGATTTTATATTTTTTTTTGAAGCGTGTCACAAATGATTTGGTTTAAATCATCGTGAGATATTATTTATATTGTTACGTAATCGTAGATCATGCGATCTGAATTCCACATGTTATTCGAATTTGATCTAACCTTTTATGGAAAAGTTTAAAAAGTTTAAATATACAGTTAATTCATTATTCATTTTAGGTATATTTATATATTTATGTATAATGTATATAAAATATGTTTACACTATTGAGAATTAATTTAAAAAAAAGATTGGTTTTTTTTTGTTTCGCGTGGTCATTGTTTAGCTTGATTTTTATTAACTTATTTGTATACAGTTTTTTTTTTTTTAATATAATAATGTTATTATCACTATTATTATTATTACTGTTTTCTATACAACCAGGAAAATAAAAAAAAAAGAATTGTTGTTGTGTGGACTATAAATAAAAAAATGAAAAAAAAATAATAATTTAAAGAATTTAAACAGTTGTAGTAGGTTTTTTTTTTTTTTTTTTTTAATGAAAAAGTGTGGAAAAATTAATAATAAGTTCCTTAATGTTTTTTTTTTAAAGAGATTTGGCTGAATGAAAATTTTTTCATAATTAATAATGTATAATATTGCGTAATTTGTAAAATTTTTTTTTTTTTGTTATACGATGAAAAAAAAGGAACGAACGTTGTAAAATAAATCAAAAGTGTAAAGTAAATTCTTTTTTTTACAATCGTAAATTGTAATGAGAAGGAAAAAAAAATGAAAAAAAAATACATACATAAACTGTATAATCGTTAATTTAAAGTATAATTTCGAAAAAAAAAAATGGATTCGATTTATGTGGTATATATATATATATATATATAATTTCAATATATACAGTATTTAAAATTCGTTTCAACAATATCCATCATAATAATAAAAAAAAGATATATAAAAAAGGTGAAAAAAAATAAAGAAAGAGAGAAAGAAAGAAAAGAAAGAGAGAAAAAGAGAGAAAGAGACGATAAACGAAAAAAAAAAGAAGAAAAAGGGAATCTTTGATATTCTTTGTGTGTGTGAGAATTGTGTGTGTGTGCATTTTTTTTTTCCTTTTTTCTTAGGCATTCATGCATAATAATAATAAATAACAAATTATAAAAAACACGAATTCCAAATGAATGTGTATTATTTATTAGTTACTATTATGATTATAATTAATTATTATTAATTATAATTCTCACACTTCTCTTCCTCCATTCAATCCCTTCTTTTTCTTTTAAATCGTGTATGTGTATTTTTTTTTTTTTTGATTAATTAATCTATAATCTATAAAATCTTGTTTCTTGGTTTCTTTTTACAATTTCTTCTTAATTGAATTGATTTTAATTCATTTTTTATTTAATTTTTAATTAAATATGTATACTTTTTTTTTTAAAAAAAATTATTTTTTTTTCTTTAATTGATTGTTCTTTTTCCTTTCTAATGTTGAAAGAAAAAAAAATCATCATCTATCATATCTCTAATAATATGTCTTTCGCTCACTCTCTTTCTTTATTGTTATTATTTTTTTTTGACAAGAAACCATATCAGATATAACTAAAAAAATTAAATAATTTATTAAAGTTAATAATAAGAATTAAACAAATATATAAAATTGAAATATAAAAAATATAAAAAAAAAAAACTTACCAATTGTTATAATCCAATATACCAATTTACCATATCCCGAAAATTGCTGGCAATATGTACCGCCTTATCTACTATACCCTAATTATTATTATTATTATAATTATAATTATTGTTAATGTTAATATTATTTATTCATAATGATATATATTATCATTATTATATTATAATAATTATTATTATTAAATAAAGAAAAAAAAAGACTTACTGGTAAAACTGTTGGTGGTGGTTGATCATATAAAGGATCTTGTATTATATTTGAGAACGGATATGAATAGTGATCATTGTTATCGTTGTTGTTGTGATTGTTGTTGTGGTTGTTGTTAACATCATTATTAATATGTGAAGCAGAAGAATATGATGGTGAAGAATATGAAGAAGAGTAAGAAGAATACGAAGTAGTAGGAGAAGAAGAAGGATATGAAGTAGAAGATGATGGTAAAGTAGATGAACCAAAATCAAATACATTAATATCTAAATCATCAACATCAAAATCATCATCATCAATTGCCCAAGCGGGTCGATTTGTTGTTGACGATGATGATGATGATGATGTTGGATAATAATAATAATTATTGTTATTATTATCATTATCATTATTATTACTGTTATTATTACTATTATTATTATTATTATTATTACTATTATTGTAGTAATTAGAAGATGACGACGATAATGAAGTTGTTGAATTTACTGCTGACGTTGATGCGGGAGACGTAGAAGATGAAGATGATTTACGTCTACTATTACTATTATATAATAAAGAATATTCATTATTATATAATCTATCAGATTTTAATTTAGTAGGTGCCAATTTAAATATCGTCGTGCAATCTTTTCTTTTCACTTTCTTCGTTTTTTTACTTATTTTCATTTCTATACCATCATCACTACTACTACTGCTATCTTGACTATCTTGACTATATTGATAACCATTATTATTTTTGTTGTTGTTGTTGTTATTGTAATTGTAGATATCATTTTGATGTCGATTATGATGATGATGATGATAATTATTAATATCATCACTATTAATATCGTTATTATTATTATTATTATTATTATAACGATCACGTTCATTATTATTATTTTGATTTCTAATATTATCGTTATTATTATTATTGTTATTATTAATAATATTATTAACGTGATCATCATCATAATAATAAGAAGTCGAAGCACTAGAAGATAAAGAAGAATTCACAAGATCATCATCGTCATCTTCAGAATCAACAGCAATACATTGATCAACTTGTTCGTTAAATCTAATGTGATGTGGTTGTGAATAATGATTATCATTTTGAGCATTTTGTAACATGATTGATTTGGTTGGTCCAGTTATTGGAGTGGTAGGACCAGATATTGAAGAACAACTTGAATAACCATCACAATCATTAATAATATCTGAATTGACATTCTCTTGTTGATCTTTTTGATATAATTGAGTATCAGAATTACTTGATATTAATATAGGTCGGTTCTTTATAGATGGACATAATATTTCTGATATTGATTTCTTTTTTAAACATGATTTATGACATGTTATGGTTGTCGTCGTCGTCGTTGTTGAATTTATTTTTGTTGTTGTTGTTGTTGAACTATTTTTTGTTGATGAATTATAATTATTGTTATTATTATAAGTTGTCGTTGAATTTGAATTCATTAAATTAAATTTATCTACAGTTGTTAATGATTTTGATTTGTCTTCCTTTTTTTGTGGCCAAGCTGTATGCAAAGGTCCATATAACCACGTTACATCACTATCTTTGAGCCTAAATATTAATGTGATATAAATATTAATTATATGATTGAATATTATATTATTTATTATTATTATTTATTATTTATTATTATTATTATTATTTACTATTATTATTATTATTACTTACCAATTAAGTTTTTCGGGATTCACAGTTTTCAAATTATATTTTTGTTTAGTCCAACTTCTCCAAGATGCATTCTCTAATCTAATCCCATTGGTAATTTCTTTCTTTTGTTTTGACATGGCTTTCCAAGATGTCCAAAGATCATCTTCCTTTTTCCAATCATGAGAAAGATAATCCACACAAATTTCGGGAGGATATTGAAATCCGGGAATGATACCATCAAGAAGATTATCATCCGGAATCATTATTACTGTCGGTTGCATCATTGAATAATTCCTTTGGTGAAAATATTGATATGTCGTTTGTGAAGCCGTGTTGGGAAAAATGATCAAAAAAAAAAAATTTGAGAAGTAGAATGTGAATATCCGTAACGGGTTGCTATTGGTGTTGAAATCAAATTTTATATCAATGTTTGATAAGAATTTTAATATCAACGTCAAATAACAATATTGATGGTGTTGATATTAGTTGTTGTTTTTTTTTGCTGTTGTTGTTTGTGGTGGTGGTGGTGGTGGTGAAAAGAAGCCACGCTTTGATTGGTTGATAAGGCGGACACGGTTTCGTTAATGACGTTAATGTCGTTAATAACTACCTATAAATATTTTTAATAGAAAAGGATTATAGAAAATACCGAGAAAAATTAAAAAAAATTATGACAAAATTAAAGAAAATTCAAGAAAATTCAAGGAAAAAAAAAAAGGCGACAACGACGATAAAAATAAGATATTGAAATAGGATATTGAAATAATAAGAATAATAAATAATAATAAAGAATGAGAATAAAAAGAATGAAAAGAATGAGAAGAATGAGAAGAATGAGAAGAATGAATGAGAATAATTTATTTATTATTATTATGTTAGACACCTTCACATAATGTCTGACAAATAATTTAATGATAAAAAAGAAAAATAAACTTACAAATTCCAAAATCAAAATTATTTTAATATCGACGAAATAGAAACTCTTTTTTTTTATTTTTATTTTTTTTTTTAATTTGAAATATTATAATTGAACGTAACAGAAATAGAATTACTATTACTATTATTAATGAACTATTAATAATAAGAATGATTTATAATAGTAAAGTATTTTTTTGAATTGATTTTATAATATTCGTTTGTGGTGTAAAAAATATTTTAATTAAAATAAATTATATGAATTTTGTGGATAGATTTTTTTTTTTTAAAAAAAAAAAGGGATTTTAAACACGTAAAAAAAAAGAGGGGAACGGTGTCCAAAGAAAAGGAGGAAAAAAAAACAGGGCAAGTCCAAGTTGATGAGTTTTTATGGATAAACTTGGGAGAGTGATGAAAAGTGATGATGATGGAATGGGTAGTGATTATTATTACTATTGTTTATTATAATATTGTTATTTTTTTATTTGTTATTATTATTATTTATGAATGGGTGTTGAGAATAGTAGTAGTAATAATAAATATCAATAATAATAATAATAATGTAGTGGTAGATAACGTAAAGATAAAGATAAAGTAATGATAAAGTAAGAAACAAAAACGAGGAAGTAAAAAAAAATCGGTTATATATATATATCTATCTATGTAATGTGTAATATGTAATCCAAAATTTTAATTTAATATAAAAATTTTTTTAAATTTATTGTTGTTGTTGTTGTTTAATTGATTAATGATTAATGAATATTGTAATGAAAGAGACAAGAAGGGGAAAAGATGATGAGAGTTTAGCTTTTTTATATATATATGAAAAGAAGAAAAAATAAATAATTTATAATATTTTTTTTTTTTATCTAAGTAATAATTTATAATAATTTATACAATTATTTATATTGTGAGAAAAAAAAAATAATAATATTTATAGTATATATAATTAGATGATATATTAGGGGAAAAACGTGTTTGAGTCGTTAACAGAATTAACAGAATGCAATTGTTCTAACAACTTTATTATAGTTTGTTCTATTAGTTGATTGATTAAATTATTAATATAAATAAAAAAAATTTTTTAAAATAGAAAATAATAAAATGTATGGTATAATATAAAAAAGAATATAAAATAAAAAAAAAAATTAAAATTAAAAAATAAATAAAGAATAAATATAAGATAGATAGATAGAGGGATATATATAGATATACATATAAAAGAAGATAAATCGGAATCAATGGAATAAATGCAATATAAATAAGAGACTTTATCAACCAAATCGGTCACATATAATAATGTATTAATAATTAATCCTATCATCTTCATCATCCTCTTCTCTTAATAATAATTAAATATAATTAAATCATCATCATCATCACCATCATCATCACCATCATCATCATCATCATCATCATCATCGTTTATTAAATATCATTAAAATATTATCAAGTAATAATAAAAAAACGAAAGATATGAAAGTAATTTTTAGATTATATTTAAGAAGTTTACTGCGTGTAAGCTGGGCTGTTATACCCGTTATAATTAAATTATTGTACGTAAATATTTATTTTACTTTTTGTGATTTTTGTGTGAACAAAAACGACAAAAATGACAAAAACGATGAACGAAATATTTATTATTAAATAATAATAATAATATAATAATATAATAAATGTATCCTATAATAATATTTTTATATTCCCAAATTCATACCATTTACGATTTTACTATAAAACCATATATATAAACAACAACAACAACAAAACAATAACAACGACGCAACAAACGAAACACTAACACCACTCCACCAACATCCGCAATTAACGAAGTCTAAAGGATAATTTTTTTTTAACCAATAAGATTTACTCCGGTTATAGGAAAAACTCGGAAGCATGTTAATTGTAATATATTGCAAATATCTCTAATCCGTCATCCATCAAAAATCTCATCATTCATAATATTGACTCACCTATTTGTATTTTTTACTGATTGAGTAGACAATGATGATAAAAAAAAAATAATAATAATAAATAAATAAATAAATAAATAATAATAATAATAATAATAATAATAATAAATATAGAACCCAAATAACAAAAGCCCAAGTACTAAAGAGATACCAAACAAAAATGATAAAGTAATAAGGTAACAAGATTAACAAAAAAAAACAGTAAAATAACTAATATGTATCATCATTCGTAATTATTCCGCAATTTCAAAAAAAACATACGATTATTATTTTTGTATTTATACATCCGATAATTAACGATGATTTTTTACGGATATTCCCCATTTTTTTCATTCATTCTTTCCTTTTCGTATCATTTATTTTATTTTATTTTTCATTTGCTATTTTTTTTATCCCCTTTTTATCATCATCTTTTTTTTTTTTTCTTACACCAACCACCTTCACCATTCTCATTTTTTTTTCATATTCATTCCCCCACACACACAAGCAGAGTATTTACTTATCATTACTACTATTACTACTATTACTACTACTATTACTACTACTATTACTACTATTACTACTACTACTACTATTATTATAAACACATTACGCAAAACTCATTACGTACGAACATATAATGAAATCGACTTTATAAATCATTACTAGTTTGTAGATTAAGTAGATTACGTAGATTACGTAGATTATGTAAATGATAAAATAATAATAATAACAAATATTTAAATGATAATAATGATGACTAATGATATTATTATTTTATAATAAAAATATAATTCCAATGTATATACTATTACTACTAGAACTTTTAAATTTTAGAAAAAAAGATTTACGTCGTTCGTCGAATTATTTGGAGATTTTTTTTTAATAATTGAATAAATCTTCTTTTTTGGAAATAAAAAAAAAAATATTAATCTTTTTTTTAATCTTATTTATTACATTATACACACACACATGTGTTTCCATTATATTTTAATTGGATTGAATATATAAGGTAATGTGATGTAATATTCTTTTCTTTTCTCTCTCTCTCTTTTTTTTTTCCTTCTTTTTTTCTCATTTTTTTTTCTTTCTCTGAGATATAAGTTTGTTATTTGTTATTTGTTATTTGTTTGTTTGCTTGCTTTTTGCAGTTATTACTGAATTAATTAGTTTTGATTAATTAGTTTTAATTTACATAGTTTTAATTGATTAATTAATTGATTAATTAATTAATTAGGTTTGATTGATAATTGATAAAATATGTTTTATAAGATGATGAATAGATTAATAATAATAATCATTGATTGATTGATTTAATACATAAAAAGACACACAAAGATATATAAGATAGATGATTCAGCAATAAAAAAGATATCATAGGATATAGTAAGCAGTAATTACATTACAATAGATAGAAATCATCATCAACTGTAATAATCACAGCACACACACACACCACACATCACCACACACGACACAAAGTAGATAGAGTAAGCATATTAGATGAAAAGCATAAGCACAGTAAGCACAGTAAGCACAGTAGATAATGTAGATAAAAATAAATAAATGAAACAGTGGTGAAAAATAAAAATAATAAAATAAACAATAATAAACAATAAATTAAACCAAATAAATAAATGAATGAATGAAGAAATAAATAAATAAACTAAAAAGAAACAATAATTTAAAATTAAAAATTAAACAACAGCAACCACAGCAACCACAACAACAATAAATTAATTAAACAATCATGGGAAATATAATGAAAAATATAAATATAACAAGAATTTTAATTGATAATTATTACTATTTATATACGCCGGTTATATACTGGTTATAGACGGGTGATTATACTGGTTATACTTGTTATACTATTAAAGACTTATTTTTACTCTTCAAATACTTATTTATTTATTCATTCATTTTTTTTTTAAAAAAAAATCAGATTTTTATGTAATCTACCTACGTACCTACTTACTATTATTATTACTATTATTATTACTATTACTAACTACCCCTCGAAAATTTTTTTCTCGAGGAAATTCTTATTTATCATTATTATTTCATTGTGAAAGATGATTAATGAATGATTAATAATGATTAAAGATGGTTAGAGATTATTTAAAAATGGTTAGAGATGACTATTACCAAATAATAGATAATATCAAATTATTCTCAATTCTCAAAAAATAAATTGAAATACCGAAAATGAAAAAAAAAAATGAAATACGAAAATGAATGAGAAATGAAATTAAAAAGAAATTAGTGTTTGAAATAAAGTTAATTTCAATAAAGTATCAGTCATGTGTTCTTGTCGTTATTGTTTTTCGTTAATGAATGCCGTTTTCTCTTTTATCCATCAAAAAAAAAAAGAATCGAAGAATTATTAGAATTAT